ATGTAATATATGAAGGACCCCAGACCGTCAGGCAAGCAGGTCGGGGGATGGCGAAGTGGACCCCGGTGTATGCGCAGGAAGCAGCGGGTTCAGCGGTGGGTTCACAGGGAAGTGTTTCCGCTGTGACTTTCGATGGAACAAAAAGTGCGAGTCAGAGTTGGTGTGCGTTAGTTAAAACAAAACACGCCTAAAGGAAACATGCCAACGTGTTAACAGGGTTGAGAGGAGCTGTGCTTCCTCGGGCCGTCCAGCGCAGGGCCCCCGTTGAGGCTGGCTTGTCTGGTGCTCAGGTGTCAGGCTTGTTTCACGGCCCGAGGCTGGCCCAGGTGGCCTCTCGAGGATGCTGCCCAGTGTGCTCTGGGGGTGTTTGGGCGGCTCGGCCACCGGAGCCCAGGAGACGCCCAGGGCAGCGGCCCCTGTGCAGGGGGCTTAGGGTCACGTCCAGGTGACACAGGAGGGTATGTCCCTGGGAAGCTGCATCTGGTGCCGTCCTGTTGGCCTCGCCCTGCCCCCACAGCACCGGGGGTCCTACATGAGCCCCCCATCTTTGTTGTGTGTTTGCACTTGTGCCCTTGGAAACTGGTTTTACTGTGCGTGTTCTTTGTACGTGTTATTCTGTAGCCTGTTCGCCCCTCAGCGTAGGCCTCGGTGGGCCGACACCGTTGGACACCTCGGTTGTCACACACCTGTCCCCGTGCCCTGCAGGGGCTCCCAAGGGGAGGGTGGGCCCGTGCTCAGGCCCAGTGCAGTGATGGGCAGGGTCAGGCGGTGCTGGCCTGGCTGGAGATGGCCGTGCACCCCCAGAGCGGGCCCCTCCTAGCAGCGTACCCCAGAGGGACCCAGGCCCGTTCACACTAATTGCAAGTGAGCAAGCGGTGGTGGGGCGAGGAGAGTGGTGTCCACAGCTCCCGGCAAGGGGAGCGCCGTGCTCGCTGTTTGAGGGCGGCTGATGGTTGGCCTGCACCTCACCTTCCCTGCACCGCACCAAGGCGTGCACCCCGGCAGTCTGGGAGGGGGCCCACCCTTCACGCACAAAAGAGGGTCCCGTGAGTCTTCAGGGTGCTGATGTGGTAAAGGAGAAAGTAGCCAACTCTGGACATACAGAGTCCGTGTTTGGGGTTGCTTGGCACTTCTTTTTTTTTTTTTTAATTCTTTTATTTTTTATTTTTTACTTATTTTTTTAAAGATTTTTATTTATTTATTTGTCAGAGAGAGAGAGCACAAGCAGGGGGAGCAGCAGAGGGAGAGAGAGAAGCAGACTCCCCACTGAGCAAGGAGCCCGATGCGGGACTCGATTCCAGGACCGCGGGATCATGACCTGAGCCGAAGGCAGACGCTTAACGACTGAGCCGCCAGGCGCCCCTGCTTGGCACTTCTGAGGGGTAGCTGTGTGCTGGCAGGAGGGTCTGCCTGGCCCTGAGAGGACCCAGAGGGTGGGGCTGTGCCCGGGGAGCCCAGCACAGCACGTGGGGAGGGCGTGAGCAAGGCCCACATGCTGCTTCTGTGGGGGGAAGGGACTTTGTGTCCTGGGCCGTCCAGGCGCTGGGCTCTCTGGTGATGGGACCCGGGGCCTGGTTAACGCACGTGGTGGGAGGTGCACCGAGCGCGTCTCGAGCTCCCTCTTTCGGGCGTCTTGCCCAGCCTGCACCTCCGGGAGTGGAGCTGGCTGAGGCCCCTCTCCACGGCTCCCCCAGAGCAGCTTTACAGTGTGCTGTGTGTGCATTCCAGAAGACTCTAGTCCACCCTCTGTGAACGGCAGTATTAAACAAATGTGTCTAATTTGTTGCCTGTGGAGTTTTAGATTTTAGTGTCCTTGTTCATTTCCAGACGTTCTTGTGTTTGCAGGTTTGTCTGATCATTTCTGTCGCTGACTGTGAGTGCCCCCCGCCCCCGCGGTCATTTAAAAGGACTTTTGTGTTCTCTGTGAGATGGCTCTGTGACGTGCTGAGGGCTTAGTTCTGCTTTCCCTCGGGAAAGAGGGAGAGAGATCATCTCCTCAGTTTGGAAATTTGAGCTGGGGAGCGTGGTCTGTGGCGCACCTGCCCCTCAGTGTCACTTCCCGGGGGCGGGGTGCTCTGGGACGGCCCCCCAGTGCCCCTCCCGCCCGAGCCCGAGCTCGCGGGCTCGCAGTCCCGTTCCAGCGCAGTGCCCGCAGCCAGCCTGGGCCGCCTGGCTTCCGTGCCTGCCCGACAAGGCCTTCGGGGTCTGGCCCGTGGCCACAGTTGCAGAGGTGGAGGGACTGCGAGGAGGCTTCCACCAGTCCAGCCTCCTGCAGCCTCGTGGGGAATGAGGCCCAGCAGCGCACCCCCACCCGTGGGGCTGCCCTGGACCCGGCCTGCAGGACGCATAGCCAGAGACGTGTCCCCAGGTTGCGATCATTTCCCGTTTTCCCCTGGCCTCAGATTTCCAGGTCATGCTGCCCAGGAGTCCCTTGGTTGGTGGTAGCCCCCATCAGGCCTCCTGTGTGGGCCCTGGGGGCCCCAGAAGCACCGGGAAACGTTGTCCTACATTCTTGGGAGCGTGTGTTTGAGGCAGAGTCTCAGCGGAGAGGGTTTGGGTCCCAGGCTCCTTGGGTGGCTCTCGTCCCACGATGCTGCTGCTCAGGTGCTGTAGTGCTGGGACAGACTGGTGGGGCCTGGGGGACAGGGCCTCCTAGATACCCCAGAGCCTGGGCTTCTTCATCAGGGAGGGAACCCCCGTGTCGTGTGGACTGGTGGGGGCGCAGATGTGGGAAGGGAGCCGAGGAAGGGAGCCGAGTGGGTACGGATGCCCAGGTCTGCTGCTTCCCCACCGACGGCGTTGGTGCCCTGGGTCACCTGGCAAAGGGGGGGCCCAGCCCAGCTCTGCATACCTGCCTCCCCCCCCGCCGGGCCTGTCGGTGCTTGGCTGGCCAGTGAAGGGTAGGGACAGTTGGCTCCTAGCTGGGCGTTCACGGGCAGTGGACACAGTGTGTCCTGTGGGTGTTTTTGAGGGGCCATGACCCCCCCCCCGAATGCTGCTGATGCTAGATTCCTCCTGTCCACACAGCTGAGGTCATGGACTGTCACTTCGGCTTCCCCAGGCCAGCCGTCACCTCAGCTTCTGGGGACTGCTTCCTCTGCTAGAGGTTTGCCTGCAGGGCCTACCTCCTGGGGCCCAGGATGCCCCCATAATCCACAGACTCAAGTGGCAACCCGCAGCCTGAGCTGGGGCATGTGGGGTGCTCCCTGAGTCCCTGCTGGCCTGTCCTGGGCCAGGACTCTGCACCTTTGTCCAGCCCGCCCTTACCTGCACCCCTGCCCGGAGAAGGAAGCCTTCCCCGCCCTCAGGCCAGCCTTCTCCTGGAGCCTGTCCTGGTCCTGCAGGAACGCCCCTCAGGCGGCCTTGCCAGGGGGCTGCGCGTGGGCCCGGCACACGCGCCCAACTTTGAGCCCAGCTCCAGTCACCTCGTTAGTCCGCACCTGCAGGCTGCAGGCTGCAGGCCGGCCACCTCTGGATCCCCAGCCCTTGGCTGGTTGTGGTCCTGATGGGCCCCAGCGACACATGGCCGGGTCCAGGGTGGGCTGGCCTGCATGCACAGGATTCACAGGACTCTGCCTGGCTGTTCATGGTCCACCTGGACACCCACTGGCCAAGGGGACATTTCTGCTGACTGGGAGGACACCCCAGCCCTGACCCAGGGAGCAGATGTGGGGGCGTGGGAGCCCTGAGGGGAGGACCTCGAGATGAGGAGAGCCCTCCGAGGTGGGAGAAGGCAGATGGTGCTCCAGGGGTCAGAGCAAGAGGTGGATGGTGGGCGGCGGTGGGCGGCTGAGGTGTCCAGGAATCCTGGGGCGGGGTGGGCTTGTGGGGGAGCAGGAGGCCTTACTTTCAAGCCCGGCGTTTCTCTGTGTCTGCGAGGTTCTGAAGTTGAGTGGCACTGAGCCTCCCGACCGCTTGGGCCTCTCGTGCCCGCCCCTCCCTCCGCGTGCTCGTCATGTACTTGCTTCAAGTGTATCTGTGACAGATGTTGTTGCCGTACGCTTTATTAGCGTTCCCATCATACGGTTTTCCTGTTTTGGCAGCTTTTCTCCAGCACAAGAGCCCTCATGATTCTCAACGACATGTGTGGAACTTTTCCTTTCTGATTAAAAAAAAATAGACCTTTAGAGTGGTTTTGGATTACAGGAAGATGGAGAGGAAAGTGCGGAGGGTCCCGCATAACCCTTCAGCACCTGCGGCCTGTTGCGCACGCCTTGCCCAGGTGCGGTACGTCTGCATGACTGATGAGCCTGGACCGATGCATTGTCCTTCGTGACAAGTCCACGGTCGACTTTGGGCTTCACTCTTGCTGTGTGTGTCCTGTGGGATTTGAAGGTGATGTTATACAGAGTACTTTCACTCCCTAGAAGTCCTCTGTGCTTTGCCTCTTCATCCCTCCCTGTCCCCCAACCCCTGGCAGCATTTTTTCACTGGCTCCATGGTTTTCTTTCCCAGAATGTCATACAGTTGGAATCATGCAGCCTTTTCAGGTTGGCTTCTTTCACTTAGTGATGTGCATTTAAGGTTCCTCCACATCTTCTCATGACTTAATAGCGCATTTCTTTTTAGTGCTGAGTAATGTTTCCTCATCTGGATGGACCACAGTTTATTTGTCCACCATCCACTGAAGGACGCCTTGGATGCTTCCAAGTTTTGGCGATGATGAATAAAGCTGCTGTAAACATCCACGTGCAGGATTTTGTGTAAAGTTTTTAGCTCATTTGGGTCAACACCTAGGGTTTGCTTGGTGGATCCAATGGTAACAGTGTGTTTAGTTTTTTGGTTTTTTTTTTAAAGATTTTATTTATTTATTTGAGAGAGAGCGAGCAGGGGGGAGGAGCCGATGGAGAGGGACCTCCATTGGCCTGAGTCCCTCTCCATCGGCCTGATGAGCCTGGATGGATGCATTGTCCTTTGTGACAAGTCCACGGGGAGGGGGGAGGAGCAGGGGGGAGGAGCCGATGGAGAGGGAGAAGCAGACTCTCCGCTGACCAGGGAGCCCTACATGGGGCTCAATCCCAGGACCCTGGGATCATGACCTGTGTTTGGTCTCGTTCGAAGCCGCCAAGCTGTCTTGTGAAGCCGCAGCGTGGGTCTGCGTTCCCTGCAGCCATGACTGGGCTCTTGCCACTCTGAGTCCTCGCCAGCAGTTGGTCTTGTCAGTGCCCTGGATTTTGGCCGTTGTAGTAGGCGTGCAGTGGAATCTTGTTATAATTTGCATTTCCCTGATGACGCGGGATGTGGAGCATCTTCTCATGCGCTTATCTGCCACCCGTATGTCTTCTCTGGTGAGGTGTCTGTAGATCCTTTGCCCATTTTTAAATTGGGTTGTTAGTTTTCTTATCGCTGTGTGTATACTAGTCATTTACCAGGTATATGTTTTGCCAAGATTTTCGCTTAGTCTGTGGCTTATTTTTTCATTCACTTAAAAGTGTTTTTCACGGAGCAGAAGTTTAAAAAAATTTCAGTCAAGTTCAGGTTATCAGTTTTTTCCTTCATGGATCATGTCTTTGGTGTTTGTACCTAAAAAGGCCTCAGCACACTCAGATTTTCTCCTGTGTCATTTTCTAGGAGATTGATCGTTTTGCATTTTACATTTAGGTCTAGGATTCATTTGAGTTAATTTTTGTAAAGCTGTTAGATCTATGTTTTCATTCTTTGTGTGTGCGTGCACACGTGTGTGTGGATGTCCGGTTGTTCCAGTGTGTGTGCATGCGTGTGAGTGTCCAGTTGTTCTGGCACCATCTTCCTCCATTGCACTGCCTTTGCTCCTTTGTCAGAGGTCAGTCGACTGTATTTATGGGGGTTTATTTCTGGGCTCTCCATTCTTTTACATTGATCTGTTTGTCTATTCTCTCATCAAAACCCCACTGTCTTGATTACTGTAGCTTTCTAGTAAGTCTTGAAGTTGGGTAGTGTCAGTCCTCCAGCTTTGTTCTTTTCCTTCAATTTTGTGTTGGCTGTTCTGGGTCTTTATCTCTCCATACAAATTTCAGAATCAGTTTGTTGACATTCATGGAATTTTATTTATTTTTATTTTATTTTTTTAAAGATTTTATTTATTTATTTGACATAGGGAGAGAGAGAGAGCACAAGCAGGGGGAGCAGCAGAGGGAGAAGCAGGCTCCCCGCTGCGGGGCTTGATCCCAGGATGCTGGGATCACGACCTGAGCCGAAGGCAGACGCTTAACCAACTGAACCACCCAGGTGCCCCTTGATTGGAATTTTAATTGGAATCGCATTGGATCTACAGATGAAGTTGGGAAGAGCTGACATCTTGACAATATTGAGTTTTCCTGTCCATGAACATGGAACACCGCTCCATTTATTTAGTTCCGTGATTTCTTTCATCAGAGTTTTGTAGTTCTCCTCATGAAGATCTCGCACGTATTTTGTTAGATTTATATCTGAATATTTCATATTTTTGAATGTTAACATAAATGGTATGTGTTTTTTAATTTCAAATTCCAATGTTCATTGCTGGTGTATGAGTAAGCAATTTACTTTTGTGTATTAACCTTGTATCCTACAAACTTGCTATGATCACTTATGGCTCCAGGAGTTCTTTTGTTGATTGCTTGGGATTTCCTGCATAGATACTCATGTCATCTGCAAACAAAGACAGTTTTATTTCTTCCTTCCCAATCTGCATATCTTTTTTTCCCCTTTTCCTATCTTATTTCATTAGCTACGGCTTCCAATACAATGTTAAATAGGAATGGTGAGAGTGGACATCCTTGTCTTGTTCCTGATCTTACTGGAAAAACATCTAGTTTCTCATATTAAGTATAGTGTTAGCTATAAGTTTTGTAGAGCTTTGCTCTTTAGAACAAAGAGAGGGAGGGAGTAGAGGGAGTTCCCCTCTGTTTCTAGTTTGCTGTGAATTTTTATCATGAAGGAAATGTTGGATTTTGTCAAATACTTTTTTTTGCACCTATGGATATGATCATATTATTTTTCTTCTCTACCCTGCTTACGTGGTGGTGGATTGCATTAATTGATTTTTGAGTATTGAACCAGGCTTGCATACCTGGAATCAATCACTCTTGGTCGTGGTGTATAATTTTTTTAATACACTATTAAATTTGATTTGCTTCTATTTTTTTTAAAGATTTTATTCATTTATTTGGGAGATAGAGATAGCAGGAGAGAGAGAGCACTAACAGAGGGAAGAGGGTGAAGTAGGCTCCCTGCAGAGCAGGGAGCCAGATGTGGGGCTCGATCCCAGGACCCTGGGATCATGACCTGAGCCGAAGGCAGATGCTTAACCCACCAAGCCACCCAGGTGCCCCGATTTCCTAATGTTTTGTAGAAGAATTTTTTGCTTCTATGTTTATGAGAGATATTGGTCTGCAATTTTCCTTTCTTATAATACATTTGTTTGGCTTTGGTATTAAGGTAATGCTGGTCTCATAAAATGAGTTAGGAACTATTTCCTCTACTTTTAATTCCTGGAAGAAATTATAGAAAATTGGTATAATAACTTTCTTAAATATTTGGTAAAATTCATCAGTGAACCCATTGGGCTTGGTACTTTCTGTTTTGGAAATTTATTAATTATTGATTCAATTTCTTTTATAGATGTATACTAATTAGATTATCTCTCCTTGTGTGAGTTTTCAGTAGATTGAATCTTTGAAGGACTAGATTTTTTTTCATCTAGGTTATTAAATGTGTGGGCATAGAGTTGTTCATAATATTCCTTTACTGTGCTTTTAATGTTTGTGGGATCTGTAGTGATGGCCCCTCTCTCATTTCTGATATTAGTAATTTATGTCTTCTCTCTTTCTCTGTTAACTTATATAGAGGCATATCAGTGTACTGATTTTTTCAAAGGATCTTCTTTTGCTTTCCTTGACTTTTCTCTGTTTATTTGCTGTCTTCAATTTCATTGATTTCTGCTCTAATTTTCATTATGTGTTCTGCTTACTTTGGATTTTCTTTTCTTTTTCTAGTTTCCTCAGGTGGAAGTGAAGATGATTGGTTTTAGATGTTCTTTTGTAACATATGCATTCAGTGGTATAAATCACGCTCTAAGCACTGCTTTCAGTGCATCCCACAAATCTTGATAACTATTTCATTTCCATTTAGTTAGAAATATTTTAAGATTTCTCCTCCAACTTCTTTGGATCTGTGTCATTTAGAAGTATGTCATTTAATTTCCAAGTGTTTTAGAGTTTTCCAGATACCATTTTGTTATTGATTTCTAGTCTAATTCCATTGTGGTGTGACTGTATCTTTTAAACAGTTTCTTTTAAATTTGTTAAGGTGTGTTTTATGGTGCAGAATGTGATCTTTTTTGGGCGAATGTTCTCTGTGAGCATGAGAGGAATGTTTATTCTGCTTTTGTTGGATGAAGTAGTCTATAAATATCAATTAGATCTAGTTGATTGATGGTGTTCAGTTCAACTGTGTCCTTCCTGATTTTTGTCTGCTGAAATCTGTTAATTGTTTATAAAGGATGTAGAAGTTACCAGTATAGTAGTGTCTTTGTCTATTTCTCCTTGCAGTTCTGTTGGTTTTTGCCTTATATAGTTTGATGCTCTGTTATTAGGGGCATACACATTAAGGATTTTAATGTCTTCTTGGAAAATTAACCCCTTTATCATTATATAATTTCCCCCTCTATCCCAGTTATTTTTCTTGCTCCAAAGTTTACTTTGTCTGAAATTAATATGGTTACTTGGCTTTCTTTTGATTAGCATAAGCATGGTATAACTTTCTTCATCCCTTTATTTTTCCCCCAGTTAAAACCTTTTTATTTTTATTTATTTTTTTAATAGACCCCCTTGTTTTTTTTAAAGCAGTTTTAGGTTCACAGCAGAATTGTGTAGAAAGTGCAGAGAATTTCCCTTCCCCTTTCCCCACACTGTGCCTTTACTTTTAGTGTATATATTTTTTTATATTTAAAGCAGGTTTTAGTCTATATATTTTTATATTTAAAGCAGATTTTTGATAGTGTATTGTAGAGTCTTGCTTTTTTCCTCAATCTTATAGTCTCTGTCTTTTAATTTGTATTTTAGACCACTGGTGTTTAAGGTGATCACTGATAATGCTGGATTAATATCTACCATATTAGTTTCTGTTTTCTATTTGGTGCTCCTGTTCTTTTTTTTTTGTCTTCTGCAATTTTTCTGCCTTCTCTGGTTTTGATCGAGCATTTTGCATGATTTCATTTTTTTCCCCTCTTCTAGCATATCAATAATACTTCTTTTTTAACTTTTTTTTTAGCAGTTGCCCTTGCATTTGCAATATATATACTTATGGCTAAGCCAGGCCCCCTTGTGAATACACTATTAAGGACAGTGCAAGCTCCACACAGCATTCCCAGGTCCTTCCTCTGTCCCTTATACAAGTGCTGTCATTCATGTCATTTATTTCTAAGCTATAATCAAGTACATTATTTTGTTTTACACAAACTATTATCTGTTATATCAGTAAAAATAAGAAAAATAAAATATTTTATGTTTCCTTAATTTATGCTTCTCTAACACTCTTCTTTTCTTTATGAAGATCCAAATTTGTGACCTATATTCTTTCCTTCTCTCTGAATGTATTTCTTTAACGTTTCTTCCAAGGCTGTCCTACTGGTGACAAATTCCCTCAGTTGTTTGTCTGAGAAAGTCTTTGTTTCTTTTTCACTTCTGAAGGATAACTTTTTAGGATACAAAATTCTAGGTTGGTATTTTTTTCTTTCAAAACTATAAATGTTTCCACTCCACTCTTCCTGTTTGCATGGTTTCTAAGGAGAAGTTTGCTGTAATTCTTACTCTTGCTCTTCTGTAGATAAGATATTTCCCCCCCATGGCTCTTTTTATTTTCAAGATTTTGTCTTTGTTTTTGATTTTCTGCAGTTTGAATGTGATTTGCTGAGGTGTACATTTGTTTGGCATTTATCCTGCTTGCTGTTCTTTGAGCTTCCTGGATCTGGGTTTGGGGTCTGTCATTAATTTTGGGAAATGCTCAGCCATTATGATTTCAGATCTGTCCTCATTTCCTCTCTCTTTTGTCTCTTCAGGCCTTGCCGTCCACATATGTTACTCCTTTATAGTTGTCCCACAGTCCTTGGATATTCTGTTCCATGTTTTTCTTTCTTTTTCCGCTTTGCTCTCCAGTTTTGGAATTTTCTGTTGACCTATCTTAAAGTTCACAGATTCTGTTTTTTAGGGGTTTATTTATTTATTTGAGAGAGAGAAAGAGAGAGCAAGTGTGATGAGTGGGGGAGGGGCAAAAGGAGAGAGAGAGAGAATCACAAGCCGACTCCCCACTGAGTACAGACTCTGCGATC